TTATAACTTTTATATTATGCTTAATCTTATTAAAGGAGCTTTAAGATGTTCTAGTAAATAAGCAAATTACAATAATTACATAATTATTACTAAGTACTAAAGACTGCTGTTTACGAGATTACAGACAGACTCCGCTTATATGTCGGAGCATAGTTATCGAAGCACAAGATAGAAAGCAGAAGAGGTTTCAAATAACTATCATAACAGTGTAACAGGAGGTGTGGTGACTTACAGGCTGTAAGCGGCCGAAGGCCTATTGGGTGTCCCTAACGTTCTAAGCGCCGTAGTAGGGCAAGACCCTGAGCTTTCCAAAGATTATGGACACATCTTTTAGGACTTTGATTTCGCACATAACGCAGAGAAGCTTTCTCGACGTGCTGGTTGTGTGCGACAGCAGAGCCTGCGTTGAATGCAGCTAGACTGGAAGCGCCGATGCGGCTGAACTCTCCCCTCAGTATCTACCTTTCTTCGAACATAGACAGCCAGCCATCTAAAGACATCACCTCACACGATATCGAGGCCTCAAAGACTACCCTGGTTCAGCATGCCGAGGAAACTAAATCATAATGCCTATACTGTGGGCTGGATCTGCCCTTTGGAGGTCGAGCAAACCGCCGCGCTCGAGATGTTGGACGAAGAACACCAGCGCCTGCCTCAGGCTGCTGCAGATCACAACGTCTACAGCCTTGGGAGTATATCGGGGCATAACGTGGTCATCGCCGGGCTCCCAGTAGCTGGGAATAATCCGACAGCAACAGTTGTTACGCAAATGAGGATGACATTTCCAAATATTAGATTCGGCCTATTGGTTGGCATAGGAGGAGGCGTCCCAGCAAAGACTGACACAGGCATGATCCGACTGGGCGACGTCGTGGTTAGTAAACCAGACGGAATCCATTCTGGGGCAGTCCAATATGATCACGGCAAAGCCAGAGTTGGTCAGTTTGAGCGTACAGGCGCCCTTGCTCCACCGCCGACAGTCCTCCTTAATGCTGCCCAAGATTTGGCGGCCAAACGGGCAAGGCTACGGAAAGACCCTGTCGTCAAAAACATCAAACGTATAGATACGACCATTCCAACTCTTCGAAAGTATAAATATCCAGGAACGGTGCAGGATCGGCTGTTCAATGCTAGTTATACTCACAGACAACAGGGCAGGCCATGTGTAGAGTGTGGTTGTGACCTTTCACAACTGGTTAAGTATGAGATGGAAGAGGAAGAAGAGGTTGATGACGATAAGGAATGGGTAATTGTCCACAGAGGCACAATTGCGTCTGGGGAACTGGTTGTGAAAAATGGTGAACTGAGAGACCGTCTTGCAAATATAGACAGCCTGCTCTGTTTTGAGACTGAAGCTGCGGGCGCTCTGGCTGATTTTCCTTGCATGGTCATTCGGGGCATTTCCGATTATTGCGACTCACATAAGAATGATCAGTGGCATGGCTATGCTGCCGCCGCGGCCGCGGCTTATGCGAGGCAACTCTTTTTCCACATGCCGATTGACCAAGTGAATCGGTGAGTCAAGTTCTCAGATAGCTGAATGACGAGAAGAGTAATTGACTTTACATGATTGACTAGCGATCCACCCGCTTCGGAGAGCCTTCGCTTGTGGAACACGCCTGATCCCGTTCCACACTTTTACGGTCGAACAGTGCTGCTGGCACAGATTGTGTCGTATTTCGACGACATCGCTTCCGGAGCCCGTAGGCTTCCTCTGATTCTAACCGGCTTGGGAGGTGTTGGGAAATCCCAGGCCGCACTGGAATATGCCCGCTTAAACGCCGATGAATACCAGCTCTGTTTCCAAATCGATGCCACAAGCGACCAGACCATTCTCGAGAGTTTGACCTCAATCACAGCCATGTTTGAAGTTGGTGGTAAGCAACCGGATACTGATGTGCCCTCAGAACGGCAGTTAGTACCGTATTTCAAACTCCAAATGGAATGTTGCAAGTCTAGGTGGCTCTTGGTTATCGACAACTACGACAGTCCCGCTCTGGTGAGGTTGTCATCATATATCCCAAGGTCATCTCTTGGAGACATCATTATCACTTCTCGTAGGACAGACGCCAGCGCTCTAGGCTGCACCATTCCAGTTGAACCAATGGAAGACGATGAATCAGATGAGCTCTTACTTAATCTTGCAGGATTCACAGCCCTCAACACCACGGATAGAGAGAGAGTCTATGCGCGAGTCATTTCCGAGTATGTCGGTCAGCTTCCACTTGGAATCGAGCTTGCTGCCGCTTATGTTAAACAGATTGGCCACGGAGGGTTGAGCATGTATGCCAGGTTGGTCGAGCAGCAGGATGAAACAGTGTTGTATGAGTCGCTGAGAAACGGGCCGGCGGGCCAGTACCTTTCCGACTATCAGCTAGGAGTCTTTGATACCTGGAGACGGTCATTCAGGATGATATCTGAGCAAAATCCCAACGCAGCAAAGTTCTTACAGCTTTGTTCTTTTTTTGATCGCTCTCAGCTGAATTCACAGTTGTTTCGAGATGCCACTAGCCGAAAATATCATTGGACTCAGGCTGGAAATCTTGCGATGCTTGAACCTGGGAAAGCCGGAGTTCCACGATGGCTACTTGCCTCTTGCACAAGGTTTGGAGAGTGGAATGAGGCACAATTTGTCCGCCTTTTAATCGAGCTCGAGAACTTTTCCTTCCTCAAACGTGAATTTCCGACGATGAAATCCACCAATGGAAACAACCCGACACCTGACGCCGAAGGAACAATGTCTGAACAAACCGGACAAGCTCAAGATAACGAAGAAGAGGGAAAAGGAGATGAGATATACGGTCTTTGGATTCATCCATTAGTATATCAATGGGCAAAAGAAAGCCTGGAACCGGCTGCAAAGGCGAAAGCGGCATTGCAAGCAGTGTGGGTTTACCTTCATAGCATCGACGATGATGCCCAAGAAACCAATAAAGAGCTTTTGAGGTTTGAGATTTTTGCGGATATGAAAAGGCCTCGATTCCAACTGCTCCAGAACTCCCACCCATATCACCAAGATCTGGTGAATGCAGTGGTGCTCAACGATGTTCGAAACTTGAAAGAGACTCTAGATGGGCCAAAGGCAATGAAAAATATCTTTAGAGATGGTCAGTTTCAAACCGGTGGTGGTGGCATGGTGGACAGCTTCTTAGATCTTATAGTCATTCTTCAAGGCTTTCGGATATTCCTTGAGCGCGTTTACTGCAAAGAGATGGACCCAGAAGGTGTATACTGGACGCTACCGAAGGCTGACTTTCAAGACACATACGCTATCTTGATCGCATTCCAAGAGCGAAAGTTGCACTCCAACGAATACATCAAAGCCAGCGATATATTCACTCTGGCCCAGCACTACTTGGCTGGACAATCTGAGTACGCTCAGGCTGTGATTTTGTGTGCTTCAGTCGTCAATGACGCTTTATTCTGGGACAGATTGGTTGCAGTAGCTCCAACTGTTGACAGGCTCATCCAAAAACTTGAAGCTCCTCGCCGAGATCGGGAGCTTAGCATCCTCACCATAGCGGCATGTGCGCAGCTTTCAATCTCCTATGCCTTTGCAGTGGGCCGATCTCATAATAACAATATCAATCCGCTGGCCGACCCCATGAACTTGCTCGATCGTGAACGCCATCAAGCAATCCGAGTCATTTCGTCCGTTGGTGAGACTGCTCTACGCAGCTTGGAGATGATCAAGGCGTACCAAGATGCATTCGAGGGTAAGATACGCGTCAGGGAGCTGACCATATCGAAAAGCGTCCAGTGGCAACTCCAGATGAGCTATGCTTTTGCCTGCTTGCGAGAAGGACGTCCGGACGAGGCTGTCCCTATCTTTGAAGCCAGCATATCAAACGCTAAAACTCTCCATGGCCAGAAAGTCGCCCTCGCATTGGACTCTGAAGTCCACCTCGCGAAGAAAGCGCAGCTAGGCATAGCCTCCAAGCAAATGGCGTTCTACTCGAGATACACCAAGGCTGCTGGTCTGGATGATCCCCACGATGACCGCAACAAATGGCTCGAGTTTATCGACTATGCGGCGGAGCGCGATCCATCCATTGTAGAAAATTGGCAGAAAAGTCTGCAATCTCCAAGAGATATGGTGAATAAATGGTCTCGGATCGAGCTGCAACGACGGCCACATGTTGGACCAAGATCAGCTCCCACAAATGCCATGCCCGGAGGCTTCATTGAAGATGATTTGCAACTAACCCCTGGATTCAGCTCACAGGGCCTCGAAATGGAGCCTCGATTAACACACTTCAACTGGCCCACCGAACCCATAGAGACCGAAATTGCTGCATTATTAACAGAACTTGGCCACGAGTATTCACAATTCAAATCTAACGTTCCCAAGTTTGCCACAGCTACTCTGGCCGACTCGGATGTTCAGGAGACAACAGATGAAATTCCGGCACAGCCTGGCCCTTCTGCAGAGCTAGTTACATCCCCCAACACAACATTAGAAGACAAACGGATCGAATTCACCTCAATTCTGTATCCACCCCAGCCACCGGAGACCGATCCTCGTAATCAGGTTTTTGTCAAGACGCTGACCGGCAAAACGCTCACGATCACCATCGATCCCAGCGCGACTGTAGAGATGTTGAAGGACAAGATATACGACAAGGAAGGCATCCCTGTTGACAAGCAGCGCATCATCTTTGCCGGCAAGCAGCTTGAAGATGGCCGCACGCTTTCCGACTACAACGTGTAAGTCACTGAACTTTTGAATTTCCGTCATCCCTAATGCTAATACCACTCCTAGCCAACGAATGAACACTCTCCACCTTGTTATGCGGTTGAGAGGTGCTGGGATGTGTCGGCATCGATGCCCAACTCGGCGGTGCGTTCCCATAGTGTCCGAAGGATCACGAGAACATCTCTTCGGACGCCTTGAGCTTGTCGAAGGTGGGCTGCTTGGTCAGCCCGGCCTCATCTACAAGGCTGGTCCAAATCCACTTTGATCAACCATCAGCCCGACTGCATGCGGATGAGGCTCACGGCAGGGAACCGTATCTTAAACACATCAAAAATGGCGGTCGACGACGTCGGGAACCGGATATTGTGGTTATGAAATCTAAGCCTCCATTTGTCGGCGGTGCCAGGTTCTCGCTATCTCTTTTCTCTCAGGACTGTCAGATCGGCCTCCTTAACGAGCTTACACCACATAGCAAGGACGGTGGTCATACTATTAAGCGTGCTTCTATCCTTATACTCTTCTAGCCCGAGAACCATCACCGACCTCACCAAATGCTCGACGTAGTCAAAGAAAAAAGCCTAACTCCAAGCGGCCGCTTCTATCCTCCCTTCGCATAATCTAATCCATATTGTGTCCGGATCGACGTTTCTCTCGCGAAAGTATCTTAAGGACGAACTTAATTCCAACCCTAGGTCACCTCTGGGATTGAAGAATCAACTCACTTACTCTAAATTCTCATGAGCCACTAGTAATGGGCTTTACTATCGCCCTTAGCCAGAACATCCTCCTAAGTAGGGGTATCTAGGTATCTCTAAACCTTTTGATGGCTCCGTTACTCTCGCCTCGAGGGCACACATCCAGCAGGTCAGGCGTTAGGAAGCCAATCGGACGATACAAGTCAATAGGCGTGTGTAACGAGTGTTCCGCGTTACAGCATATACATTGCAAGTTCCAAGAACTCCTCATGATTTGGGGACATTCTTAGTCTTTTGGGGCAGCACCCCAGGGTTGTGTGGAACTTGGCCTGACAGCGTGAGCTATCGTATCAGACGGTCATTGAAGGAGGGAGAGAGAGAAGAGAGAGAGAACTCACTATCGTGGAAGCGCCATATAAGAGCCTATAACCAGGACTACCTCAACACTACCCTCGGTACACTAAAGATCACAGTGGGCCACCTCTTATCGACTCTCTAGCTCTATCTACCTGATCCACCTCGGTGTGTAAGGAAGGGGGCCCATTTCCAGGCCCTCTGGTGTTTTCCTTTCAGCACATCCCGGCTAGATAAGGGCCGGGGTTCCCCCGGTCCACAGTCATCGCCACTCTAAGCGTCCTTCGATACCGAAGCCACCGGTCCCCACTTTTACCTGTAGGCGCGGGGGCTAACCGCTATTATAAGGCCTCAGAAGAGCTCAGCAGTAGCGACCGATGCTGCATCAACAAAGAGAACAATACCGAGCTTTCAGAAGCCATCACTTCGATGTATCGTTGGTATAACAGAGTGACGAAATGCTATGCATACCTCTCAGACGTTTCTATTGTCGACAATAATCACGTCAATCCGTCTTTGCAACTATGGGAGTCTGCCTTTCGCAACAGCCGGTGGTTTACGCGGGGCTGGACGCTCTAAGAGCTGCTCGCTCCGCCTTCAGTTGAGTTCTTTTGCTCAAAGGGTACTCGACTTGGTGACAAGACGTCTTTAGAGCAGCAAATCCACTAGATTACTAAGATCTCAGTTCAGGCTCTTCAAAACACTCCTTTAGCCAAATTGGATATTGACAAACGAATATCATAAGCGAAAATGCGTTAAATAAAAGGCGGCAAAGATAAGGCTTATTCTCTATTAGATTTCTTTAACGTTAGCATACTACTTATATATAAAGAGGGCAAAGAAAAGACTTTTTGTAAGCTATAAAAAGAAATCTATAATAATATAAGGTTAGTTACTAAATAATAAAAATAAATAATTCTTTAAATTATCTATTATATATTAT